TTCTAGTGGTTCTCTGGCCCACATAGCCTCTTGGTTCTGTCATCACCTACATCTTCTGGTTCTCTGCTCATCCCTGCAAATCAGCACTTTCAACCAGGATTCTTCTGTCAAGACTGTGACTGTTTGCCTGCTTCATCTACCATTATTCACCCCTTCAATAAACCCTCTAAATGTAACTCTGTGTCTGGCTGAATATCGGGTTCACCTGCAATAAAGTGTGACATGAGGTGCTGATTCATTCAGTGATTTATAGACAAACAGAAGGATTTTAAAGTCTGTTCTTTGAGCTACAGGGTGGAAGGACTTCAAAATCGGACTGATGTGCTCTACTTTGTTGGTTCTAGTGAGAACACTGGCAGCAGCATTTTGGATGAGCTGCAGCTGTCTGAAGGACTTTTTAGCCAAATCTATGAAGACAATGTTACAACATTCAATTCTACTAAATGTAAGTGCATCATTGAGTTTTTCTATATCGTGCTTGGACATTAGCAATTTAATCCTGGAGATGTTCTTCAGGTAATAAAAAATGTAGTAACTGTCTTTATGGGCCTCTGAAGGTTCAGGTCTGGGTCCATCATGACACCAAGGTATAATCAGTGTTTTTTTTGCTGTAGCTGAAGCTGTGAGCTAGGTCTGGATCTCTCTACTTTTGGTCTGAAGATTATTACCTCAGTTTGGTTTTTATTCAGTTATGGAAAATGATGGTACATCAAAATATTGATCTGTTCTAAGCATCTAAACAACACTCTAAATTGGGCCTACTCACCTGGTGACATTTTGATGTAAAGCTGTGTTATCTGAGCTAATGGGAGCATTTAGGAGGGGCCCCAGATTGGAGCCTTGAAGAACCTGGATGTGATGTTTCTGGTCAAAGTTCCCTACTGACACATAAAAGTTCTTGTCCTTCAGGTAGGTTTTAAACCAGTCCAGCTCTGTTCCAGAGAGGCCAACCCAGGTTTCCAGACACTCAGATAAAATTGAGTGATCAACAGTATCAAACGCTGCACTAAGGTCCAAAAGTACCAGCACTGTGATTCCTCCAGAGTCTGAGTTTATACAGACATCATTGAACACCTTAATCAGGATATTATCTGTACTGTGGTTGCCACAGAAACCTGACTGGAAGACATCAAAGCAGGTGGTCATGTTGAGAAGGCATTTTACTGTTGAAACCCAACTTTTTCAATCCTTACTGATGAAGAGGAGGTTTGAGATGGTTCTGTAGTTCTATAGGAACAATTTGTCCAAGCTTCTCTTTTTGAACAATAGCCTGTTGTATTTAAGGCTCGTGGGAAAACACCCAACATAAGGGATGTGTTTATGATTTGAAACAAATCAGACTTTTAAACAGACGAAACCTTCTTAATTAAACCTGTAGGTAAAACATCAAGACAGCAGAAATAGGAGCTTAGCTGCTGTACACTTTCTTCTAAACTTTTGCTGTTTATTGGGCAGAATTGGGACATTTTAACAGGGTTGTCTTTAAGAGAGTTTATTCAAACCGGAGACAGCATTGGTAATGGAGTTGATGTGATGTGCAGACTGCTTTTCTAATGTATTGTATTTTCTCAGTAAACAACTTCTCAAAGTCATTGCTGAGCTTTTTAGACCTAAGTTCATCTGCCATGGAGAAAAGAGGATTTGTTATCCTGTCGACCGAGGCAAATCAGGTGCGAGTATTAATGTTTTTTTCTTAAAATCTCAGAGAAGAAACACTCTCTTGCATTTTTTAGTTGTGAATTATATTATTGAAGCCTCCCTTTATAGCGTACATAGTGAACTTTGAGTCCATTATTCCATCATTTTCGTTTAGCTTTTCAGCACTCCCTCCTTTCTTTTCTTACTGCTGGAGCGTTTCTCTATTTAGATTTCCCCTTCCGAAAGATGACTTTTAGTTAAAATAAAGCACTGAAATCACTGATGTCTGTAATTGTACTGTCCATGATGATACACTTTCTTATAACATTTCTTTTGGTAATTAGATCAGTGGGAAAATGGTTTCAAAGTAAAAAGAAAAATGTTCTGATAGGGCAACATCAGTTACAGAAACATTAGAAATATTTAGACCTTTGTTGATGACCAGGTCCAAAACATGTCCTCGATTGGAAATTGGCTATTTAACATGTTGAGTCAAAGCAAACATTTTTACGTGTATCACACAGTTCTTTTGCACCTTTGTCAACATGAACATTAAAGTCTCTCACAATAATTAAGTAGTCATGTTCAACACACATCTCAGATAAAAGTTAATTGAGATCATTAAAAAGTTTGTTCAGGACTTTGGAGGCCTGTAAACATTCCCAAACATGGCTCGAAAAGGGCCTTGTACTTGGGAAAGCCAGATATTCAAAAGATTCAAAGTCACCCAGGATCACTTTACTACAACTTAGTGAATCAATAAAAAAAAGTAAAAAGCCCTTCCCCTATTTTTAAACAGTCTGTTCTGATGGAGAAAATAGTAGTTTGGAGGTGAGGTCTCTAATCAAATCGGCGTCTCATTATTTTCATCTCTCTCCATTCGAAACATAAAATATATGGTAAATGGCCTGTACTTCTAATGCTCTTTTTCAAGTCAGGAGACTTGACCAAAGCGCTTTACATTACATTCAGTCATTCACAAACACACTGATGGTGGCATGCACATACATTATAGCCAATGCTGCCCTGGGGCTCACTGACATAAGCACCCATACACAGGTGCCACCAGGCCCTCTGACCAATGTGGGTGAAGTGTCCTGCCAAAGGACACAACGACACTGAAAGTTGGAGCTGGGGATCGAAAATCAAGATTTTTCTGAGTAATTGAGTCTCTGATTAAAAATGACTTTCCTGACAGAGATCTTATGTTGGTTAAAGCCAGATTAAATACCTTAGTTGATATTGTCTCTCTAGCTGGTCTTAAACACCCATCTCTTCATAGACCCTCTCCCACCCCAGCACCTGTAGAGAAGTACTGTATGTACTTCACCGCCCTTCCTACCGCGCTACCTCTTTCTGCAATTTCCCCTTTAGCCTGCTTTACATCTCTGCACTGTCACCCTTCCTACCGTTAAGAGCCTCACTACTGGTTCTTTTTCTTAGTAGCCTATTGTTAGCTTTGATATTAACTGCAGCATAACATCCTCATTTGTTAGTAACTTTGAAATTAAATATCTGCCAAAAGAACAAACATAAACAGTGAATCAATATACACAAGCAAGTATACAACTGAACAGTTAAAAGAAGCAATCTAGTTAAATTTAAAACCTAAATCAAATTTTTAAAACTGCTTATAAACAGGTCTATAATGGCAGCATGGCTGAACAGCAAAGTTGCAGAGCCCAGTGGCCCAACTTCTTCCAGATATAAACCTTTGCTTTTATATATAAAATTAGCTGTTTTCTCTCTTCCAAAAACACAATTTTTACCCATATCCTTAAGTTAACAAGTTACGTCTCCTTATAGTTGGAGAAAAGCAACGTGAAAGCAGTCTTCTTTTTTCTTTATTAACTAGGGATGTCCGGATACAACTTTTTTCATTTCCAATAAGATGTTGCAGCTCTGAGTATGATCTAAACCCATATTGACCGGGTATGATATGAGCATTAATCATACATAGTTTTATTAATTATTTTATAGGGTGGAATGATAAAAAAAAGGTTTGATCAAGTGACATTTCTCAAACACAGAACAGTACTTAGCATCAGATATGAGAACAATTGACCCATTTCTTATTAACCAAAAAGTCACATAGACTTTACACAAAAGCAAATAAAAGCAAAGTATTACAATGAGCTTTCTAATATCAGAGATTTTAGAGGCAGGCCTAAACATTCCACATTTATTTTTTAGCTGATATTGGGCCGCTTTCCGATATCATTATCGGATAGTGACACCCCTATCCTCAAAAAACCCACAGAAACTACAACTTACAAGTGTTTGTAAAAATCTGTGTTCCAGTTGCAAAGTGGCTCAGGTTATCCTGAGCTATCTCTATAATTATGCTGCTATAGGCTTAGACGTCTGGAGGACATAGGGACCCCTTTTTCATCATTCTGTGTCATTCTATCTCTATTCTCCAACTCTGCAGAATCTGTTAGGTCAGTCTCTAACGTTATGCTCTCTCTGCTTTTTCTGATAGTAGCTTCATCTGGTCTGTTCCTGTTTGGCTGTGACCCCATCCTGGAGAGAAATATCACCTGTGCTTCTGCCATCAACACCTTAGTTTATAGATGTTCAAGATCGGCCTGTTTTTCCAGTGTTGTCCTGTTTCTCTGACTATGACTAAATGGTTGTGCTCTCTTTAACCTCTGACATGGGAGCTGGCATGGAGCTCGTCTGCCTGGCTGTGTGTTTCCTGGACAGGGCCGCCTGTGGTTTATTGTTGCCTTTGTATCTCTGCTTCTTTTTGTATGTCTGCTTATGTCTCTTTAGCAGATGGCCGCTCACACTGAGCCTGGTTCTGCTGGAGGTTTCTCCCTGTTAATAGGGTGTTTTTCCTCTCCACCTTCGCCACAAGCATGCTTAGTGTGAGGGATTGCCTTCATGTCAACTAGTTGACGAAATCAGCTGGTTTTCCTTAGATAGAAAACTTTGAATCAATTTTACGGCATGATCTGGTTGAATTGTAAAGTCCCTTGAGAGGCACTAGAGAAATAAACTGAATTGAATTGTTCATAATACTTTTTTTATTTTGTTCTGAATTTTTTAAATCAGAAAAGAGCAGAACAATTAAATGCTCAGTCCTTAACAAAATAAACAAAGGAAAATAAGTATTAGAATAATCTCTCTCTAATAGGTTACTTAATGCATCGTAACTATAATTTACTAAAATCCATAAGTAAAAACTTAGTAGAGCAGCAGCGGTAGAAGCATATCTATGTGTTTCAGATCTATGCGGCGGGAACGCCCCTCTCCAGCTTGCAGCTGACAACAAGCACGTGACCAGGCGTGTTTACACCTGCTTCTCTCACTACTCACCGTGACTGCGCCGCTGCCTGTCAGA